GTTCACCTTCTCGAGATATTACTTTTATTGAGCAGTCTGAAAGGCCTCGGGAAAAGTCGCTTCTACTTGGCTCGGCTATCTTTTTTGAGTCATGTTAGAGCGATAACCTACTCAACTTCGCTTCGGGTGGCTGTGGCTCTCCCAGGCGGCTATCAAGAAAGCGATGAATCCGTATGCCGTTCGCATAACAACGCAATACTGTAGGGAAATGCATACATTTACTCGATATAACCTTTGACCGCAATTTATGGGATGTCACTTATGTACATAGATTTCTGGATGCATAATCTGATTTGTGTTGCGCACCGGGTGACACGTGACCCTTTGTCTCTCGCAAGCGAAGAACAATGTTAACGGCGAGCCTTCAACTTCCTTTGTTTCTTTGAGCTGAAACGCCTGCCTCAATATTACCGCATCTGGTATCGCAGCAAAGAATGCAAAGAAGAATGAAAAGGGTCCCCGTAATGCTTCACATTGAAAGCATGGAGACGGCGAAGTGTTCCAGCTTTCCTTCTTGTCTGCTCAAATATTTTGCTACTTTATGTATCATTCTCACAGTAATGGTCTTCTCTCACTCTTTTAATCTCATCTGACACCACTGAAAATTTGGTCGAGGACGATTCCGGACCAGTCTCTACAAGATGACGTTTGCCTTCTCAATATCACTCCGCAGTTTCAGACGCATATTGCACTGGAGATGGAGTTGGATGTCATTGTTTGGCTTTACCAGCAGGAACCATACGCCCACTCTGTGTCTCGCGACGGTGCTTGCTCTCCTTGCTAGCTCTGTTACGCCTATATTCGCCATCCTTCTGGGAGACATTTTCAACTCGTTCACATCGTTCGGCGGTAGTGATATTAGTGGCGACGACCTACTCCGGAAGGTGACGAGACACAGCATCGCGCTTTCAGGCTTAGGTATCGCTAGCTGGGTTCTCAATGGAGCGTACTTCAGCCTCTTCATCGTTTTTGGGGAGCTACAAGTCTCGAACGCTCGAACCAGAGTCTTCGAAGAACTGCTGGGGAGAGACCAGGAATGGTTCGAAACACAGAAGGATGGCACGAAAGCTTTCTTGTCTTATCTTCAAGCGTAGGTCATTTATGTCTGATGTCAATTGTTTTATGCTTCGTTTATCTTACCTCCATCATAGCCAAATTTCCGAACTGCAGATAGCAACCTCGCAGCCGCTAGGGCTCATCATGCAATACACCTTCAGAACTATCATTGCGCTGGGATTGGCATTCTATACTTCGTGGAGACTTGCGTTTATTACGCTAGCCGGGATCCCCGTTTTCTCAGGCGTCGTTGCCTTTCTTTCTTCTCGGATCAAGCCAAGAATCGAAGCCCAGCAGGTTGAACTTACCCGGGCCTCAAAAGTCGCCAATAACGCTACGAGTTTGATTGACACGGTCAAATGTCTCAACGGCCAGGCGTTCGAGCTTCGTGATTTTGCCCTCAAAATAAATAGTGCTGCAGGTCAATATCTCAAGCAAGCACACCTAAACTCGCTACAGATAGCAGTCATACGATTCATGATGTTCGGCATGTTTATTCAAGGGTTTTGGTACGGTACTGCTCTAACGAGATCTGGGAAACTCACCGCTGGCGAAGTCCTGAGAACATTCTGGGCCTGCTTGACAGCGGCTCAGTCGATCGAGCTAGTCTTGCCGCAAGTAATAGTGATGGAAAAAGGCAAGGTTGCAGCGGTAATGTTAAAGGATCTTCTGAACGGCCGAAGAGTGAAAAAGCACACTGGGGAGTTGAAAGGAGTTTCACATCCCCGATACTGTGACGGTGATATCGAAGTGTGCGATGTAAGTTTTCCCGACTGACAATTTCTGCACAATTTCTGCCCAATTTTCTAACCTTTTCGTCCTATTTTCTTTTAGCTTTCTTTCACCTACTCTTCTCAGCCCGAAAGACCCATATTAAATTCAGTCAGCTTCTTCTTTCCTGCAGGTGAGACGACTTTCGTGATTGGAGAAAGCGGATCTGGAAAGAGTACACTCGGACAATTACTTGCACGATTGTATATGCCCACCTCAGGCGAAATACTAATTGATGGCAACGCGATCCAGGCTCTGAGTCTCAATTGGATCAGGAACAACGTCACACTTGTCGAGCAACGGAGTGTTCTTTTCAACGAGTCCGTCTTGACTAACATTGCCTTCGGCCGTCGAGCACATGAGACAGTGACGATGGAAGACGTGCGCGAATGCATTGATTTGGCAATGCTCAGGGACACTATTGACAGCTTGCCAAATGGTCTCGACACGTGCGTTGGGCCCGGGGGAAGCTTCTTGAGTGGAGGTCAAAGACAGAGAGTGGCGATTGCACGAGCTAGGCTCCGAGACACTCCCATCCTCGTCATGGACGAGCCTACGAGCGCCCTGGATGGCATAAACCGTATAGCAGTAATGAAAGCGATACGGGAATGGCGCAGAGGGAAGACGACGATCGTTATCACACACGATATGTCACACATCATGGACCAGGATTACGTTTACGTCCTCGAGCATGGCTCTGTTGTGCAGTCAGGATACCGGCATGAGCTAGAAAATAGCCCAGCGAAAGAGAAATATTTTCCTTTCAGCGAAAGGCAACTCTCTTCGAGAAATCCTCCGAAGCTGGAAGTCTCCTACGTCAATGGCGAGACGCAGCAGATAGTCGACATTCCGAATACTATCTGTACAAGTAACTTTGGCTTCCCGAAGCACAAAGAAACACCAGTTCTGTCAAGGAGAACTCCTTCGCAATTCAAAAACGCTCAACTGTTCGACCGCAGAATGCAAGAAATGCAGCTTTCCGCAGGACTGAGTTACGTGGTTAAGGCACAGGCGACGTTCCAAGCAGAGGAGATCTCAATATCTGACGGAGTTGCTATACCGATGCATGAACTAAGTATGACCCAGTCACGCAGATCATCCATCTCTGCCAATCGACTCAGATTACATCGCGCTTCTCTGGCTGCTCCTGTTCCTCAAGCTGAAGCAACAAATTATTCGCAGTCTATCAAGAGGCCTCAGCCCGCGAGAGGGAACACTCCACTTTCAGGGCAGCATCGTCTCTCTATAAACCAGATCGTGCGGACATTAGTGCCCAGCCTCACCCTGAGACAGCGGTTGCTGCTCCTGCTCGGAGTCATAGCTGCACTGGTGGATGCTACTGCAACACCTGTTTTCTCTTACTGTCTCTCTCAGCTCTTCCAGTCGTTCTACGATGTAAAAGTTAGCTCCTTGAGATGGGCGGTGGCTGTTCTAGGTGTCGCTGTAATTGACGGGACTGCCTCTTACTTCATGCATTATCTTTTGGAAGCTTCAGGCCAGGCCTGGGTTGATCAGCTTCGCAAGGAGGCATTCAGACGAGTCTTGGACCAGCCTCGGCAGTGGTTTGATGAAGAAGGCAATTCGCCCTCCAGAATCACTGCTTGTCTTGATCAAAACGGGGAAGATATGCGGAACCTGGTCGGCCGTTTTGGCGGCTACGTCCTAGTGGCTGTGGCAATTACCCTGACCGCCGTCATTTGGTGTCTAGTCGTCTGCTGGAAGCTCACCCTGGTGGCGCTGTCTTGCGGTCCCGTCATTTATGCCATTACCAGGGGATTTGAAGGAACCAGCGGACTATGGCAGGGGCGGTGCAATGAAGTTACCAGGAATGCATCCGACGTAATAGTCGAGACGTTCTCGGAAATACGTACTGTGAGGACCCTGACGCTCGAGCCGTTCTTTCACAAGAAATACTTGAAGGCGGCGTCAAAATGCATGAAAATGTGCCTCAAGAGGGCGGCTTACACTGGGATTTTGTTCGGCCTTGTAGAGTCTACAATAATCTTCGTGAGTGGTGAGTAGGCGCCCCTCTCATTCCGTTGACTGTTCTAAGAGACTATGCAGGTTTGATATTTTACTACGGAGCGCTTCTCGCATCGTCCGGATATACGGTTGAAAATGTGATGACCGTATTCTCGATGCTGTTATTTAGCATCGGATATGCGAGCACGGTGCTTTCATGGAGTAAGTTTTGTCTCATCCCTTACACATGCTTAGACAATCTCGCCTGTACGATTGCTAATTTCTTTCAAGTTCCGCAAATCAGTGCCTCGCAAGACATGGCTACTCAGCTGCTACGACTGGCTAACCTACCTGTTGGGCAATCCCATGAACATAAGGGTGACAAACGCCCTCTGAAGGCAACACCGGTGAAAATACGAAGTCTGACCTTTCGATATCCATCGCGGCCCGACGCTCCTGCTCTCCGAAAGGTGACTCTCGCTATAGCTGAAAATTCTTGCACAGCCATTGTAGGTGGCTCCGGATCTGGAAAGTCGACCATAGCATCCTTGATTCTCTCTCTCTACGAAACACCCCTGTCCAGACATGAGATGCCGACCATCTCAATCGGGGGTCTGGATATCCGACGCCTCCACACGCCGTCCCTTCGTTCCCTGATATCGGTTGTCTCACAGCAGCCTACGATATTCCCAGGCACCATACATCACAATATCTGTTACGGCTTGAGAGACGAGTCCCCCCTCCGTGAGTTACACAATGTTCGTGCTGCAGCTCAAGCCGCGGGCATCGATGAGTTCATCGTGTCACTTCCCGACGGCTATTCGACTGCCATTGGGGACGGTGGCGTGGGCTTGTCTGGCGGCCAGGCGCAGCGATTGGTGATTGCACGAGCTCTTGTACGCCGGCCACAGATGCTGATCCTGGATGAGGCAACTTCGAGCCTTGATCCAGAGAGTGCAAAGGTGATTCGGCAGACAGTGCAGAGGTTGGTGTCGGCTCGATCAGGCCTTACCGTGATAATCATTACGCATGCCAGAGAAATGATGGAAATTGCGGATAATATCGTCGTCCTTCAACAGGGGTCTATTGTGGAACAGGGCCCTTACGAGGTTCTTGCAAGGCGGCGCGGTGGAAAATTGAAAGCTTTGATAGAGGACAGTGAGGGCGTTGACTCATAGTCCAACAGCTCACTATCTCAAACATAACGTGACTTATTGCACATTAGCGAAGTGGCGATTAAACCAATCCAGAGCCTGATCTTCTGCCTCCGTAGCTTGCTGCTCTCCATCTTTCAGAAGACGGTCTGCTCGCACGCAGAACCCATGGCTAGCCCCATAGTAAACTTTCACCTCACCAACCTTATCCTTACTCTCCATAATGTTCTTGATCTGCTCAATCTGCGGCTTTTTCACAATCACATCCAAATCCCCCAGGGCAAAACTAACGGGGATTGTTATCTTCTCAATCTCCCCGGGGATGCTCAAGAGGCTAGGATGTCCCGTGAATCCAGCATTGATCAACGGTTTGCCGTCTACATCAACCCCGTGAGCCAGATTGACAGTGTGCTTGCCTCCCCAGCAGAAACCGGCTGCTCCGATGGGGAGCTGAGCTCCTTCGTTCCGGCGGACAGCGGCAAAGAATGACTTGACGATAGGCCAGGATTTGCTGAATCGGTTGAAGTACATGAATGGAACCATGGTGTACATCGCCCCAGCGATATAATAGCTGTTTGGCTGCTCAACCTTCCTGGACATGCGTTTGTCAGGTAAGAGAGACTTACGGTTTGACAAGCCAGTCATACAGGGTATCTGTCTTGAACAGATTCGCCATGACGTTTATAGCCCACACAGGGGCCGAGTGTCCTATTCAAGTGAGCATAACGTCAAATTCTGTTTCTCGTCTCTACCGGCACACCAAGCTACATCCTGAATGCTTTAATCTCTCACCATTCATGAAATCCGGTAGATAAACTCTGTACTTGCCCTTCTGGGCATAATGATCCGCCAGTATCCGGTTATTGACAAACTCCCAGCCGAACGCATCCGGAACGATAATGATAATCCCTTTTGCTGAGTTACCCGTTGGTTCTGGCGTTGGCGATGCAACGTAGACGTCGAGTCCGTGCAGTTTGGTCACCTCGCCCTGTGGTTCGCCAGAGTGTACATGGCCGCTGAAGCACTCGGGGCAGGACATGGATGTATTCTGCAGATGAGTAGGTCACTGATGACTGCTTGTTACTCTGATAGAGTCGATGGAAGTCGAGGAAGAATGATGGAATCTACAAGCAGGGTGGGATGATGTGCTTCGACGTTTGCTGGGATAATTGAGCTGACTGCATGTGACACTGATGATGTGAGTTAGTACAAAGTACTGTTAGTGCAACCTTAATTTCCAGGCTGCAAGCTGGTACTAGCAGGACAGGACTTGTCATGTTTTCTGCTATGTTCTCCCCGATTGCTTCTCTCTACGGAGGAAAATCTACAGTGGGGGACATGTGACCTTGACAACGGCAAGCCATCAGCGCTAAGGTTAACCTTGGATTTGCTGCGGTGTTTTTCCCTTTTTCCTACGGGGGGTCGTTTTTCCTCCATACCATCAAAACCCTATATACTTGAGGGAGTGGCTAGTTCAAGGAACTGCAACACCGCAGAGTTAGGGACCTGGTATATCTGGTTTTCGTTTAGGAAGAATTTCAGTACGCTGACCCTCCTTTGGACCACGGCGGCTACGTAAATATGCCAAAGAGACACTTCTTATAACTATTTCTTGACACCCAGGGCTTACCCCCTGGCGGCCTTTGTCCCACTAGGGAATGGGTAGGCAGTGATTAATCACAGCCTACAGCTGTTAAAATAATGACATACACAACTAACTATACACACACATACACACACACACACACACACACACACACACACACACACACACACAGAGGATGATCTGTCAACTAACCGCCGATAACCATACATTCTAGGGCTTCTTAAATGGTCCAAACCTGGTAATACCAGAATCATCCTCAGATTCTAGAAACACTGGGCCGTGAAAACTTAGTCGAAGATTCTGACATAATGCTGATTTGACGAAGCATCACTACCTAGGACCTCATCCTCTTTTATCCTCCTCCTCCGCTCATACAACTACAGTGAACCGTCTCATCGCACCTCACTCAAGAAAGGCATAGCCGCAGAACAGAAAATGAGTGGGATAGCATCCTTGCCTATGGAGATCTATGATGTGGTATGTTTAATAGACTAACAGCTATCATTTCTGTAGAGAGAGCTGATTTAGTATAATAGATTGTGAAAAAATGTTGTACGCACAGTCGTCAGGAGCCCTCTTTCTTGTTATATATTGACAAGATGCGTTTGAGGAAGTGTGGTATCCTTCGTCAAGTGAACAAGGTGTTCTATTACAGCGCCACACGCTTGATGTTCCAGACCTTTGTGATCTAACTGGACCGGGAAGTTCAGGGGGGTCACTTTCCCTTTATCAAGTTTGAAGAGCTCTGCTGCAATGGCAATGCTCACTACCTCCAAACATTGGTTATCAAATGTCATGATCATCTTTGCAACGATACAGCTGCTCGGAATCTTGGAGACTTTGCTGGCTCTTGCACACAGTTCGCGCTTCATCTCAAGCAATTCCCATCTTTACGCGCGTTGTACTGATTTTATACAAATATCGTTATGGTTGCCATGCCATGGAAGCAGCCGACCAAATCGAGCAGATAGTCAATGCACTTGTACTCGCGCAGCTACCTAAGCTAGAGAGTTTGGGGATTTTTTTACGATGGGTCGGCCGAGGGTATGTCTACCCTTGATCTACTTGAAAGCCCACACTCCACTCCTTCCCCTATTTTGAGGGGTATAGAGAGTTTCCGAAACCTAAGCCTTAGCCTTGGGTGTAGCCGGTTGTTGCGCCGAAAACAAGGCTCCAGTATAAGCCAAATCTTTGGACACGGCGAGAACCTGGAAACTGTTTACGCACATGGGATCTATAAACTACCGCGAAGCTCACCAACCCTTATATGCCCATCGGCTCCCTTACGTTCCTTACGGCTTACGTCTTCAGAAATGTCCGGCGAGTGCCTCCTAGAACTCCGGCACTTTCGGAACACGTTGAGACGCCTCCACCTTAAGGACGTACTCAGTAGTAGCAGTCGGACTTGGGCTGAATTTTTCATATTACTTCAGCAGTTTTCCGCCCTTGACAGGCTGAAGGTAGAGAAATGTGGATACAGTCGGATCCCTAAATTCATGACTGAGTCTGACCAACAGGCTTTGCTCCAATACAAAGCTCACTGTGCACAGACCAGGGAGGAAACAGGATATCAAGCCAATGGCTTTGTCCTCCACAAGCACATAACGAGTCTGCACATTTCGACCGTAATTTCCCAAAGTTGACCCAGTCTGCGGACATGAACTCAGAAGATATTAGGGAGACTAAGAGTATTAAAGAAGCATTACAGCTTGCAATACTTCAGACCTGTGACATCCAATAATAAAGGAAGAACATTGAAAGATGTTACCTGTAGTGTGGTTGCAGGACAGATACTGCACATGGACTACCGGAAGGGGAGGCAGTTTAAGAGAGAGTGGAAGAAGGACAGGTGCATCTATTACCGACAAACAGAGTCTATAAAACACATGTAAATTAGGCCAAAAGGGTGTCCGGGCTATATTCAGTCAGGATAGGGTCTTATATCTGTGATCATGGCGGTATTCTATTTTCTAACAGACAGTGATGATGTGCTCATTCAGGACCGGAGTCCTGTTAGTGCAACCTTAATTTTCAGGCTGCAAGACTGGTGGCTACTAAGGTAGCTACGTTGTTTCAAAGAAGGACAAGACCTGTCATGTTTTCTACTGTGTTTTCACCGATTGCTTCTCTCTATGGAGTAAATCGATGTTCCTACACGAAGATGATATTCCCCCAATGATAAGATAATGATTGCTCCGCGATGAAATGCTACTGAAACAGACCAATTGCCCATTTCCGCTGCGGTTGCATAAAGCTGGAAAGAAGCTTTGGATGGGTCTTCCCAACACACACGGACTATCTACGGAATAGCCAATACAGAGTTTATAAGGCTTGAAGCAGGACACTATCAGACAGATTTCTGGTATCACATTCCGGTTCTTCCGAGACAACTAGAAGAACCATGGAATAGCCCGGGACAAATCATGGATGGATCCTTCAAATTCTCAGACAGTTCGGTACAATTCTAAAAATGGATCTTTGGCTTGCGTCGGCCGTCAAGAATTGATAAGCTAGCCGCCAGTCATTGTGAAACCACACGAGCTTGGCAAGGAGTGGACTGTGGCGGGTGCTTTTACCGGTCGCAACGACCATGGTATGGTAGACTATGGAGTACCATACTTAACAATCACAGTCCCTGTTTGATGTCAAAATTATGGAGCTGGACGGGCACTAGAGTGTGTAAGCAATAGATACGTCCTCCAAATAGCCAGGAAAATTTGAGGCCTACCTCTCTAACGTTACCAATTTGTCGGCCTTCCGCCTTCAACTTCACCAGCCACCCTGGGCAGCACTACTACCAAAGAGATCTTCCTTTCAGCCCATTAATGACAGCCTCTGATTAGCTTGGTCTACTCTCAGGCATACGGTTTCTGCTGTTGGATCATTGTCCTAGTACTAGTCTACTATCTACCCCATACTCCAGCCAAATCATCACAGATCCTACCATAATCCAGGCCTTTTTCGTTCTTTCTTCTCTCTCCTCTCACCTCCTTCACTTCCATGCTTATCTGCACCGTGCATGTCCTCAATCATGGATTTAGGGATTGTTAACACTATCTTCCTAACCTATACTATTGTTCTGTGATGATCTGATGCGATTTATTAACTTCTATATATAACCTCTGATCTCCTGCGCCGAGACTTACTGCCTCTGCTGTCTCTTCAGCGAAGTGTTCTTCGCTGTGACTTCAGTTCCTTGATATCTCTTTCGCTAACAACAAAGACATCAAGATTCGTCCTGAAAGGAACTTAAAAAGGAGACGCTACATTCTTAATACCTAGCGGATCGGGCGGCTGAGATGTATATCTCACCCCAGGTTCGTGGGCTGATGGCCCGTCAGAATGGCGGCAACACCATCCCTGACACCAATTCCAAAGCCAGTGATAGAAACATCATTTTTGTCATTGTAAGTGTTCGTCCTTGTAATCATGTTGCTTTTACACTTGTTCTCAGCTAACTGTTTGGACTGCTAGGTCGCTCTGGCTATTGTTGTCTCGTTCCTCCTGCTCGGCGCCTCCTACTTCGGCCTGAAATATTTGCGTCGGATGGGCTGCTCCCCTAAATATCTCCCAGGAAAATACTTGAAAGACAAATGGAACCGTTGGGACCCTGGAAAGTTCTATAACCAAGTCTCAAATGACGTTCGGAACGGATCGGCTACGGGCGCTGAAGCCACGGAGATGACAACCGCGAGAACGACCAATCCCATCCGTCGAGATGCTTCCATTCGGTCCGTGGCCACTCTTCCTGCCTATTCTGCAAATCCCAAGCCTGAGGAACAGGTCATCGCACGCGAAGGTGAAAGAGACGGTATGGATACCGTGATCGAGTTTCCCGAGACCGCTGAAGAAGAAGAGGCTCGCCGAGAGGAGCTCATGGCATCGCTGTACGAAATCCGTCAGCGCCGGCGCGAGGAACTGGCAGAACGCGAGGCTAGGCGACAGGCACGGCGTGAGGCTCGCGAGCGTGGAGACCGTGCTCAGCTAGAGATCTTACGGGAACAGGATCGACTCCGTGCTCGCCAACGTGCAAGAAGTGGGTCATCAACTAATGCCAGCAATAGTGCCACCAATCTCGCTACGGCTTTAACAGAGCATCAGACTCGTGGTCGCGGCAGGCGGATTGCCAGTGTAAGCTACGCGGACGTGGGCTACGTTCGTCACGATGGATCGCGAGTCCGCGCAACTTCACCCGATTCCGATCGTCGCCCCCTACTGTCGAACGGCGCTTCCGGCAGTTTCGATACTTCTAATAGGTCTTCCATGGTCGATGCCCCGAGCATTCACTCCCGAGGAGAGTCCTACTCATCCGCCTCGACGGGTCCCGTCGATCCAAGTGCGTTGACTCGGGTTCACTCCCAGGCACATTCTACCGCCTCTACCCTGCCATCCACCCCAGGCGCTGAGGAGGCCGATGTTGGTGCTCTCAGCAT